TCAGAGCCTTCCCCAGACTCCAGGACTGGCCCAGGTTCCTCCCCAACCTCCTCACTGTCCGAGTCTGCTGCCAACTCCGCTGGCCACTGGTGGGCCACAACATATATTTGTAAATTGACTCAGACAATACAATGCTTATTAAGCACGCACACACACACACACACACACATGAAAGAAAAACGTATAAATATAAACCCCCCCAAAAAGAATGTGATTTATAAGGACACCCCATAAAAATTGATCACGCCCGTACAGGTAGTCCTCGACTTAAAACAGTTCATTTAGGGACTGCTCAAAGTTACAATGGCACCAAAAAAAGGGATTTAGCACCCTTTTTCACAGTTACGACCATTGCGCATCTCCGTGGTCACGTGATCAGACGCTTGGCAACAGATTCATATTTATGACGGCTGCAGGGGTCACGTGATTCCCCCTTTGGCGGCCTTCTCCCAAGCAAACTCCATGAGGAAGCCAGATTCACTTAACAACCCATGTGACTAATTTAACAACGGCAGTGATTCACTTAGCAACTGTGACAAGGAAGGTCGTAAACCGGAGGGGAAAAAATCACTTAACAAGCGTCTCACTTAGGAGCAGAGATTTTGGGCTCAAATGTGGTTGTGAATCACATGCACGTGTGTTTTTTATGTGTTTATATTTGTGTGATGATGTTTTATCCTTTGGTGTGGAACGGTGACTATTCCTTTTCAGAATGCAAGGCAGGGACATTTCCAAAGAGCTGAATCAACTAAAAAGCGTGGATCTTAACTTCAAAGACTTGGAAGGGGCTTCATACAAGAAGCACATCACTCACAAAGCCAGCTATAAAATCCAGCACTGCGATTTGTATGCACAAATACATTTTTTTCCCATATGTATCCAAGACACCTTGATATCTGATGTCTATGGAGATTCTTAGCCATCCAGGTCATGGTTGTGTCAAAGGTGACTTTTTTTTCAGCTCTATGAGATGAAGAAGCTTCTTGGATGAGAAGTGAAACCAGGGGTGAAATTCAGCAGGTTCTGACAGGTTCTGCAGAACCGGTAGCGGAAATTTTGAATAGTTCAGAGAACTGGCAAATGCCACCTCTTGCTGGCCCCAGAGTGTGGTGGGAAAGGAGATTTTGCAGTATCCTTCCCCTGGAGAGGGAATGGGGATTTTGCAATATCCTTCCTCTGGAGTGGGGAGGGAATGGAGATTTNAACTATTCCACCGTTGATATTACCCTAGGGCAGGGTTTCCAATCTTGGCAAATTTAAGACCTCTGGACTTCAACTCCCAGAATTCCCCAGACAGCTATGCATAACTCACAACCCCTACACATGGGGAATAGCACACTGAACAACAGCCTGGCTTAAGAACAGAAATGTTGAGTTGTTCGTATGATGCAACAATGCATGTACAAAAGGGGGCTAAATTTGCATCACAACAGCACAGTGGTTTTTATTATTATTATTATTATTATTATTATTATTATTATTATTATTATTATTATTATTATTATTATTATTTTGTCATTTCATTCTTCCTCCTCTTCTCTCCTCCTGCCCTGAAAATACCTCAGCACGGAGCATATGGATGATACTGCAAATTGCTATTTGACATCGATCGTTATGCTTTTAAGCGGTCATCGAGCATTCAATAGTAGCTGCAGCTCAACGTATCCACTAGGTAAGGGAAAATCTGCATGGATCTTCATTTGAATCATCCAAACTGTCTCTTCCTTTTCACTCTTCCTTTTAAAAGAGTTTCTTGACTTCATCTGCACAACCTCCAAGCCCAGGGATGGTATTCGAGGCAGGTAGCCAGCACTCAAGCACAGCGGGGCTATTTTTAAAATGTTGACAGATGTAACCTGGGGCCTTAGCTGAAATAGAACGTTATACCAATCGAGTAGTATGCTTTGTTAAATACTAACAGAATAACAGAGTTATGTAAGGGACCTTGGAGGTCTTCTAGTCCAACCCCTTGCACAAGCAGGACACTATACAATTTCAGACAAATGGCTGTCCAATCTCTTCTTAAAAACCTCCGGTGTTGGACCACCCACAGTATCTAGAGGGAAGCCATTCCACTGGTTAATTGTCCTCACCGCCAGGAAATTTGTCTTTAGTTCTAGGTTGCTCCTCTTCTTGATTAGTTTCCATCCATGGCTTCTTGTCCTGCCTTCAGGTGCTTTAGAGAATAGGTTGACCTCCACTTCTTTGTGGTAACCCCTCAAATATTGGGAGACTACGATGATGTCACCCCTCGTCCTTCTTTTCATTAAACTAGACGTACCCTAATTCCTGCAATTGTTCTCCATATCCTTCCATTTATTCATTCATTTATTCTAATGGTGTTGGCAGCTGCTTTCTCTCACATACTAAATTAGCCCTGTGTTCAATCTTGCATTAAAGCCCATTCAACTGCTATTTATTCATTATGCTTCATTACAATGTGAAAACCACGCCCACTGAATATGCAATTAGGCATTAACAAGACCATGCTAAGAATATTACCTTTCATGTAATATTCATGAATCATCATCGTCTTCTTTAAATTACCCCATAATGCCTTGCGGGGTGGAGTATGGGCAACTGAATGGAGCTGAATATTTACTGACCAGATGCCCTTCCCTGTCGCCAATGCGGAGTTTTATTCAGCAGGTATATATACTCATTGTGCCCAGAGAGAGAAATATCTGCCTCTACCAAGGATCGAACTCACAGCCTCCTGATTGCGAGGCGAGAGCTCCACCTCTAGGCCATCGCACCACTCATGTAATATTCATGAATATTCATGTAATACCCACCAGCAATGAGTCAAACAATGCTAACCAATGAAAGAACACATTCCAACGCATGCAGTATGTTTGAACTGTATATCGTTGTATATTCTTTACCCTTTTTAAGGGCTCCTCCCCTGTATTTGTGAGGGCCTCTCCTTGTTAACGCATAAGTAAAGAAATACTAATCTACTTTTCTGGGTCAGATCCGATTGTGGGCAGAGGCACACTGGGTTAAAGAACTTTGCTTGTTAAGTTTGCCAATTTGACTGGCTAGAAATGGTGGCATTAAGCATCCACTACCAGTTTATAGAAAAGTTATAGATTATTCCTTTATCTATCTATCTATCTCTCTCTCTCTCTCTCTCTCTCTCTCTCTCTCTCTCTCTCTCTCTCTCTCTCTCTCTCTCT